ATGCCAGAGATTTGTGAAAAGGAAATAAAATGTTTATTTAATGCTATTCAGGCCTAATGCCTTCACTAAAATATCAAAGTCCTTTAGGTTATACACCTACACCCACACAGCGCTCCCTTCTCCCACTGTCCCAACTCCGGGTACCGTAAATCAGGAAAAGAGCACACGTCTGTGTTGCAGGCTGCTGGCACCGTCAGCTGTGTCACTGTGCAGGATCTCGAGTTAATCCAATCATGTGGCACCTTCTCACGGTCCACTGGCAAGAGTCCTTTGTACCCAGTTCCAGTCAAAGTCTCTTGCTTTCCAGGCCACGCGGCCAAAGTGGGCATCCCAAAGCCGAGTGGGCCTCTTCTACCAAAGCTGCAGGAGTCCGCACTCCACCAAAAGCATGTGGCTTTCTTCTTCACCTGGCTGCAGGGATCTCCATTCTGGCAAAGCTGCGTGGTTTTTCCTTTCACCTGGGAAAGAGGGGGTCCGCACCCTGCCAAAACCACGTGGCTCCCTCTTTCACCTCACCAAGAGGGGGTCCTCACTCTGCTGAAACCGCGTGGCTCTCCCTTTCACCTGGGCAGTTATCCCCTCATGTCCTGGAGCCCATCTTTTCCAAGCTCTCACACAGGCCCTTCTCACTCTGGAGTGCAGACCATAGTTCCATCCTGAGTCCCAGCTACTTCTCACTCAGGAGAGCAGCCCCTAGTTACATCCTGAGTCCCCGCTAGTTCCATTTTGAGTTTCCAAGCTACTTCTTTCTCCCTGGCTCCAAACTTGGCCACTGCTATTTAACACATCTATGAAACCAGTTAAAGGTTATACATATGTTAAATAACCATTCCAGAGGTTAGCTGCAAAACTGTTGGTATGCAAAATAGCTCTCAATGGCCCTGGCTCCATTCATCTCTTCCCCCTGGGGGGGTTGGTGAGGACATCCTATATGTCTCTCCAATATTCCTATACACTTTGAATTCTGGACACCATTCCAAATCTTTTTCTTGGGGGCCCCCCTGGCTGCACCCTGTATCACATGTGCCCCACTCAAGGTCTACTTGTACTTCTCCTTCCAGCTTCTAGGCCTAGAAGTAGGGTTATGTCACAGCATAATCACTGCAGGATGTGCTGGGCCTGAGAAGGGAGAAAGGGGATGCACTCTGAGGGAGCAGCAAGGCCCAGGCCACATACACAGGCGGATGCCAGTGCAATATCAGGGTGACCAGATTCTGAGGCTGTTTGACCAAGAGAAGCTGGAACATATCATTGGAAACAGGAGTTTATTAACTGGGGAACACCCTCCAGAGATATGCCTTGGCAAGACCCTCCAGAGATGGTGTCACCTTGTTACTGGGATGATTCCTAGAAACATGGAAAAAGCAAGGCCCATACTCAGCAAAGCTGGAATGCCAGAATTGCATTGGCAGGTTGAGGAAGAAAGAATCAAAAGGCTCGGGGACATGGATAGGCTGGAGTGGACAAATTATCAACTGTGTGAGGCCTGCAAAGCAACCGAAGGATTATGTTGTGTGGGAAGCACAGAGGACAAGCCAGGAGCCAAGGCCATCAGGAGGAGACTGGTGAGATGGGCTCCACCATCAATAGCATGTTGAGCAAGGCTGAAGGCACAATAAAGCGATAAGCTAGGACCCCAAATGATAGGACCCCAACATAGCAGAGGTCAAGTATGAAATGCCTGAAGCAAGCTAGGGGGGTACAAGTTTCCTAATGAACAGCAAGAGCAGAGCAGCAGAGAGCTATGTAGAAGATTACTGTGGTCCCCAAAGCAGCAGCCTACTGAATCAGAAACTCTGGGAGTGGGGCCCAGAGACTTGTGGTTTAACAAATTCTCCAGGTGATTCTAATGCAAGTTAAAGTTTGAGAACCACTGAGTTAACAGCAACACAGATATGACAGACCTGATTTTAGAAAGCAGTGCTGTGTGCTAGGAAACCCAGGAAGTCAGCATGAATCTCAGCAGGGGACATTTGTACTAGAATGTCCTTTCCATTTTAGAAAAAGCTTTGCTTCCTCTTCAGCCAACAAAAGAACAAAAGAGTTAGAAGTCACAAATTCTTCAGTGACTTTGCCTTATACAATTTTACGTAGAAAATCTCAAACTGGGAAATTAGCAATTGTGAGTTCTGAGCAATGAATAACTCTACCCCTTACATCACTGAGCAAGGTAACATGGCGACTTCTGCCCAGCAAAGCTGCTTCTCTCTTTGCTTTGATTTGCTCTGACATATAGAGGTCAAAAGCATTAATCCCACACTGTAGCTTTAGGCTTTATTATCAGTAGGAAGGAAGAAATTTAGGAAAAGTGGGGGAAACCCCGGGAGGTAGCAGACAAGAGGCTAAGTTATTCTTAATGCAGTTCATGAACTGATACCAATTTGGAATCATATTAGGCTTATTTTGTGGATGAGTCGCTACCTAATTTCTCTAGAGCCTTCTTGCAGCAATTTCAGGGGCCATGGAAGAAATTTTTTCTCTCTGGCAGGTATGTTGAACCCATGGCCCACAGACTGTATGCAGCCCAGGATGGATATGAATGCTGCCCAACAGAAAATCATAAATGTACTTAAAACCTTTTTTTTTTTTGCTCATCAGTTTCTGTCAGTGTTTCTGTATTTAATGTGTGGCCCAAAACAACTCTTCTTTCAGCGTGGCCCAGAGATGCCAAAAGGTTGGACACCCTTGTGGCTTATGTGGTTTTTTTTTTGGTAAAAGCATAAATCTAAAATTGAGGTTTTCCCCAAAACCCCTTGGAGAAGAAACTCACGGGGAAAATATGGTCGTAGGAATTCACAACTGTGTATCTAACCACAGACACAGCTTCTCCACTTTTTGACTCCCACCTTCGAACTCTTGCACAAAACATTTATATGTGTGGAATATGTCTGCGCTTCTGTTTACCTGGCCATTTCTTACCCATTCAACACTCAGCTAAAATACATTTCCAGAAAGTCTTCTTCATGAATCAAAATATAGCCCCCTTTGTTTATTTGACTATTTTTTAATGGATTTGACTAAGTCACAATCAAAGATATCTCTCTAATGAGAGTTTATTCCAATATATTTTTGACATTCTGGGCAGTGTGCATGTGGAAATGTAGCTATGACTCCAAAGTAATGATGACTGAGAAAGAGCCGCAGACTATTTGAAAGTCTAATAATACAATGGGAAGGGACATTTATTCTCTTCTCTACTGATTGGTCGGAGTGGAGGAGAAGACCAATGGCAGCCTTGAGGATGGAAGTGACCCTTCCTAATTGCTGTGTCGGATGTGCACAGAGATGGTTTACTGGTTCCACTTGCAGTGCCAATCGTGCAGGTCTCTTTCCAAGTTCAGGTTCAGTGGTATCATGTTGTGAGCTTAAAGCCAGCCATGGTGGGGATATTTGTATCACAGAATTTAGCAAATGCTGCAAATCAGGTTTTTGTCTAACCCAGCAAGCAGACTGTCCAGCACTCTGCTGTGTGCATTCTTTTTTCATATTCATATCTATCTCGAACAGGTGCATGCCTTCCTCTTCTTTCTATAGTGTATTTCTTTTTTTAATATATTTTATTATGTTATTACAGTTGTCCCATTTCCCCCCCTCATTCCCCTCCACCTAGCACACCATCTCCCTCCCACATTCCCCTTTAGTTCATGTCCATGTGTCTTAAGTTCTTTAGCTTTTACATTTCCCATACTATTCTTGCCCTCCCCCCATCTATTTTCTGCCTGCCATCTAGGCTACTTATTCTCTGTACCTTCTCCCCCTCTCTCTCCCTCCCACTCCCCTGTTGCTAACCCTCCACGTGATCTCCATTTCTATGGTTCTGCTCTTGATCTAGTTGTCCTCTCAGTTTGCTTTTGTTTTAGGTGTGGTTGTTAATAACTTTGAGTTTGCTGTCCTTTCACTGTTCATCTTTTTTATCTTCTTTTTCTTAGATAAGTCCCTTTAACATTTCCTATGATAAGGGCTTGGTGATGATGAACTCCTTGAATTTGATCTTAACTGAGTATTTCTAATACCATTTTAATGTATCTATCTACTAATTGTATCCTCTAAGTCAGAGGCTGGCTAACTGAGGGTCAAATCCAGCATTAGCCTATGTCTTTACAGGGCCCATGAGCTAAGAATGGTTTTATCTTCTAAAAGGGTTAAACAAACCAGGATCATTAGCCATAAGGGAAATTCAAATAAAAAACACAATGAGATACATCTCACTCTTAAGTGGGATAGCTATAACCACCAGACACAGAGGGCCACAGTCTATGACTCCATTTATATGAAATGTACAGGATAGGTAAATCCACAGAGACAGGAAGGGAACTGGTGGTTGCCAGGGGCTGGGGTGGGGCTGTGGAGAGCTGAGCATCTGGTGACAGCGGATTTCATTTTGGGGTGATGCAGTGGTGTGCTTCATTGATTGTATATGGTTTCACAACTCTTTGAATATACTAAAACCCACTTATTTTTATATTCTAAAAGAGTGAATTTTATAGTATCTCAATAAAGTGGCTTATTTTATTAAAGGGGTTCCCAGACTTTGGGATTTTATTGACCAGTATATTATTCATCCAGGAAAGAAAAAATTCAGGGATCCATTACAGATGCCAAATTTTTTCTTTCTTTTTTCTTTTGTTGGTAAATAAACACACAAAAAGTTATCATCTAGCACCAAAATCATTTCATAAAAGAACGGGCATTTTAACATCCAAAGATTAATAAAAAATTAAGAAAAGTAACTTTATTACTTTTGTTATTATTTTAAAAATATTTTTTCAAAAGGGCCCTGTATTTTTTCTATTTTACATTTCTCAAGTTTTCTACACTAACATTTATTATTTCATTATCAAATTACTGCTATTAAAGAAACAAAAGGCCCCCTTTATAAAAACTTACCATTTCTATAAAAGATGTTCTTTAGATCTTGAATTTGGAGTCCTGTAGTTAGATATTAAATTATATATGTTTTAATTACAGTTGACTTATTGATAATAATGTACATCAAAAAATTTAGTTGTTAAAAACTTTATTCAAAGCATGTAAAGAACCATACAGTTCAAAACTGTACAAATAAAAGACAATTTCTGGTAACTTAAAAATAAAGGATATCTAAAACAACATTAACATCTACTATTTTTAACATAATCTCAGAATGAAAGGCAATCTTTGTACTTCTATATTTGCTACATTTGAGCTGGAATCCTCCTCCTGACTCACTACGCTGTTATGCAACCCTTCCAGTTTGAACAATGAAAATACAACTGGATATTTTCTGACAATCAATAATATGTACTATTGATTCCCTCCTATACATCAAAATAAAAATTATTCAAATGACTAGAAACTAATTTTCACTAAAATAAGAACATATTAGCAAAACATTTCTCTTGAAAATGAGTGGACTAGTATTCTGAATTGAGTTATACTAGAATGCATTTCTACTTGAAGACTCTCCAGATTATTCACTATACTTTTATACAGCACAGGACATTTGCAAAATGCTTTTCATCATTTATTAGGCACGACTCACAACACCCAGGTGCTGTGAAATTGCAGAATTAACTTTTGTTTGTACAGGAAGAAGCAAGGCACGTGAGGCCGCAGTGAGACCTCATTAGATTGTGATTTCTTGTGTCTAGAGCCAGATGCCTCTTCACAGAAGACACTAATTTGTTTAATGATGGAAATAAAAGTATAGCTCTGTTGTGGGAGAATTAGTTCGGCTCCACAGGTAAAAGGTTCAGAACTTACATAAATAAGGTAGAGAGCACACTCTCAGTGTGAAGGGGTTAATAGCAAGAAAGAGCTGGCACACAGATTCTATTCAGAGATCACTTTTCAGAAATAAAAATAGCAATACATGAATAGAAAAAAATATAATAGCTATAGAGAGTTTCTCATCTCTAAGCCAAGGGGTTTTTATAAAGTCACTTTAAAAGTAGGATCTCTCTTGAAGACAATTGTTAAACATCTTAGTTTTCCCTCCATAAAACCCCTATGAGGTAGAGAGCACTAACTTAATGCGTGTGAAACTGAGAAGCACAGCAAAGGTTGAGACCACATGGAGAGTGAACAGGCTGGAGCAGATGTTATGTCTTAAAGTATTGGCTTGGAAATAGAACAGAAGGTAGAGGATAAACAGGAACTTTTCTGGGTGGATGGCTGGAATAATCCAGGGATCCAGTAGCAACACCAGCTACTTAACATTTTTCACAAAGGACTTGGAATTTCAAGTACACAATGAAACCTAAGATGACAAATGTGCTTCTGGGTATCGACATGCTCAGTTGATGGGAATTCACGCACTAATTTCTCATGAGACCAAGTGAAAAAGTAGAGGCACAAATGAGCCACTATCTGGGCAAGTGCAAACTAATGCATTTAGGACAAAATACTACACTGCTTGTCATTAAAATATGGTGGACACTGAGCCATCAACATGGCTTACGAGAGGAATTCAATTTAGCTGTGTTAGGATGGATTAAAAAAATACTGGTTGCCATCAGGAAGAGTACTGAAAAGCAAAACAAGGGCACTTGGAAAATCATATGCGACCCTGGATTCATAGATTCACCATGAGCTATTAAGGACAGTGTGAATGTTTGAAGTACATTCCTGACCTCTGGAGGGATTACATAAAACATTTCCCCAAGGCCGACAGGCATAGTGTGTAGCAGCAGAGACCGAAGTTCTAAAGCAGTGTAGCAAACCCGATGTTCTGGGTTCCTAGGAGGCTTTCCCTCAAGATCTCCTCTAATCGACTTTCTCCTCTAATCGACAGTTAAATCCCAGGCCATGATAATAAATACACCCAATTTAGGCCCTAGGGCACCTGATAGTAAAAACTTCAATGGTAGTGTTTGTAAAAAACCCCAGAGGCCCACGGGTCCCCCAGCCCTGGATGGAAAGACGGAAAGACCTCTGAAGGCTGCTTTTTGTTTATGGAAAATTGGGCCAGCAATTACAACCTAATAATACTTTAAAGTCCAAGAATAGGTCTCCTTGGGCTCAACTGACGACTCCTGTGTAAACCCTTTACAAGTGGCAACTGTAAACAGCAGAGTTCCAGACTAGGAGCACCTGGGGACAGGGCCCCCCCATTTTCAGTTCACAGAAATGTTACCATTTTCCCTCAGTGTTCACCAACATCTCTTCCCACGAAACCCAGGCATTTAGTCTGCACCTTGCAGCTAGAAGGGAAGGATACAGACTATATAACTAGTGCTTTGGTGCAGGGAGATATGTAATTTGATATGCGTCATAGCCTTAAATCCCCCAAACTGATTGGAATATTCTGGGGAATAAACCAATGGAAGGAATTTTCCCCAACCAGTGGCATAAAGAATCCTTTTAATTGTCATGGGTGGTTTCCCTTCTCCCTGTTATACAGAATGAAATTCCACGTCACTAGTGTCATCTGAATTTTGGACAGTTTCTCCACAAAATGTGACTTGAGTAGAGAATATGCTAGTATGGGAAATAAAGTAGAAATAAACCTAATATTTTCAATGTCGAGTTAAAAATGGCCTCCCTTTTCCTATCTCTAACCATTTCTTAAAGACAATGTCAAAACAAGTATCGTCAAATGGGCTTGAAATACAGGGATGTTGGTGTATGTAAGGTTTTCCTTGTACATGCACCATGGACAAAGATGAACTGCAAATTATTTTTTCAGCAGCAAATGTTAAGTAGCCCTCTTTCCCTCTGTCCCATTCCCCATCCCCTGAGAAGGAAAAAGCCTTCACTAAAGAGAAATGCCAGCAGGTTCTCTGCTCGGCAGGTGGCTGACTTCAGGGCAGTGAATACATCTACCTCCCCCTGGTGTGAGGAATCCTTAGCAAATTGTTACCTTCCATGCATTTTAATTATTTTGGCATATGTTAATTCGTCTTAATAAGGAGGGGTTAGTTACTATTTGGAATATCCTGGTTGGAAACACACCCCCCAAAGGTTGTTACTTAGCATTTGAAAAACTTCAGTCTCATCAGAACTTTTTCTGTAGTGCAACACCAGAGACTTTGTTAACGAGTGACAGTTTTCAAGGGTCCAATTAACGGTGATCAAGGCATGTGGATTGGCCCCAACACTGGGGCAGTCCAGCCCTTGAACAGGTGTGAGAATCTAGCAAGCCCACTAGCCCTGGGACCCCTAGATTCTGTGCCTAACATTTAAACAGAATTGGGTGCCGGACACTGAAGCCTGCCTGAAAAGTACTGGATTCATTTCTTTAACTAACCCTTTCACTGAAGATATTATTAAATTCCTTAATGGAATGGAGCTGGGACTTTTGCAGGCACACAAGACAGGTAAACTGTTACAACACGTCTCTTCTAGCGCTTACTTAGAAACGTGGATGAGGCGGACGTCGGTCTAAAACCCGATTTCAATGTCAAGTACCACTGGGTAAGGTTTGGGAAGGAGGATCAACAGCCTTCACCACCTCTGCCTACTGAAGACCTCCAAAAGCAACCTAATAATCGCAAGTGCCCAAATTGGCTAAGTCTAGTTTACAACAATTTTTTTTTTCTCTAAAGGACGAAATGCAGATACCTTTACAGGTGCATTGAGGTGAATCCAGTCACAGTCTGTGATGGAATAGGCTTGGAAAAGCAGTTTTTAGTTAACAGACAACTGGAAGTCCCTGTTTTCTCATAAGTTCTCCCATAAGATCCGCAAACATCCCAAGGATAAAAGACTTTTGTCAATTAAGCACAGGAAGAAGAGAAACACAGAACTGTGACATTTCTACTTCACATGCTTCCTATTCTTCTGGCTTTCTACCAAAGCCCACTTTCTTTCCAACTGTCCGCTACGGGAGTGCCACCGCTTCTGGGAGTTCAACCATTGTGGAGCAAACTAAACAGAGCAGTTAACTAAGTTCAGGATGACGTGTTAGAAGTCTGTGCCACTGAAGCGGAACCAACTGAAATGGAGTGATTTTAATTATTTGGCTGGCTATTTCTGCAGCTATGGTTAATCTAATGGGTCTGAGACTCAACAAGCATTTTGAGAAGTTCAAAAGTACTTAAAATGAATATATGCTCTTGCTTTCATTTTAATGAACATTTCTTATGATTTGTCCATGTTCCCCTCTTCAACTCTGCTTTAAAAAAAATTGAGAAAGCCTCAACCCTAACATCATTCCCCAAAACGGATCTGCAACACCGACGTTAAGTGTGATTATGGGCTTGCAGTGTAGGCGTCACCGTGAGCCCCTCTGTCCCCACAGGGCTGCTGGGAAGGGAACAGGGGTTTGGTTCCAGTCAGGGACATGATTCATGTAAGGTGCTTGCCCTAGAGCCCAGTCCATGCTGCGAACTCAGTAACAGTGGCCGTCATTAGCAGTAACGTGTCAAACAAGAGCAACTACTGGTCACAGCAACGTGCATTTTCAATTCTAGGCAAAAAGGCAATAAAACCCAGGTATCAAGTTTTTCATATGACAGATGATTGTCACAGTAAAAGCAATGTTTTCCACTTGTACTTGGCTATATTCAAATTAGGTCCAACTGAAACTTTTATTTGACATTTCTCCCTGGGGACGCTAGGGTATTCGAAAGCTGGCAAAGGTGCTGCGAACTTTGTTATGACATGCAAGGACAACAGAATCAGAGGCATCCGCATTTGAAGAGACTTATGATATTCCACCCATTGCTGTCTTACTTGACTCCCACCATGTTGCTGCTGAGGAAGGTGTGATCATCTCTGCTGTATGCACTGGGGCAGCTGATGCCCTGGAGAGTTTAAGTGTTGTCTAAATTTCTATGGCTCAAAGGCACGAGGCTTGGGGTAGACAGAACCTGTTCTTTTGATTCTTGGTGTAATGGTCTGTCTTCTATTCCCCCAGGGAATAAGAGGTTTTAAGGGAGACTATTATATGTTAAGAATAGCACTTGGAGAACAGCACAGTGCAGGGAAAGACTGAATAATGAAAAACAAAATAGTATAGTTTAGACTACTGTGGCACAGGACTTAGGAAATCATTCTCAAAGAGGGATAAAGAAACTGTCATCCCTGAGTCTCTGTGAGTAAACAGGGCCATAAAAAATTAATGAGGGCACCAATTAATTTCGTTTCTAGCACATTTCTTTAGCATCTTCTGTGGGCATGTTACAGGGAAGCCTAACAGGGATAAGAAGTTTCCTATCACATGTCCCGAAGAGCATGGACTTCTTCAAAGTTAGAACACATAAGGTCATAGACGGGAACCCTTGCTGAAGAGAGAAAAAGAAATCACCATTAAAGAATTAATCTAAATTCTTATCCCATTAGGTCCGCCCAATCCTAAGGGGTACGTACAGACACTTTATCCTAGTGTGGTCTGCAAAGAACTGGTTATCACCTGCTACTGAAGCAACAAGGCACACTCCTGGAGCCTGGGCGCCTCCAAAACAGGCACGGGTTTAAGACAGAGCACACACTGCCTCTCGAAATGCAAGGCCACGACCGTAAGTGGATAAGCACTCTGGGACTTCTCTCTGCTTCAGTGTGTTTCAGTAAACCCGAAGAGCATCCAGTACCAGCTGAGGCTTACATCCCTAAGCCTCACTTACGGATCTTCGTGAGTCTGACTTCCAAATTTAAAGAGCCATCGTCTAGTCTAGGCTCCAAATTTAGAGACTGACAGGCTAATTTTAGAGGGTGTATTTTGGTTGAGGGGGCTGGTTGATCAAACTTTTTTAAAGCTCCTTTCTATTTCACTCAGCATTTAGCGAGAACAGATGCAGATGGGATGCACCAGGGTGAGCAACATAGCTTGTAAGGGGCCAACGGCTATAAAATCTACTTGCTCATTAGAGAAATATCATACCGGAGAGATAGGCAAAAAGGGTATTGAACTACCTGGCTGGGAGGGAGGTACCTACACCCTGAAATTTCTTTCCCATAACCACATTGAGATGATGAAAAATGCAGTATTGGGTTCTTCTTGGTAAGGAAGGTACTGCACACAGGTCAAAGGGGTCCTGAAACCCAGTGCTCCCGAATCTCCTTCCCTAGTGCAAATGAAGCCATCTCTATTCCCCACTGGGACGCAGGTGCACTTTATGACACTAAGTCAACAACCTGCTTCCCAGCAGGACCCAAGAAACCACCCGCTATGTGTGAGACACTACTAAAGCTTTCTAAAGGAGGTGATGCTCCACAGTATTTCCTCTCCTGTAACACTCAGTATTTTACAGAACACCTCCCTGTGAAGGAGAGCTCTGACCAGAGTCATCTTTCTATGGGAAAACAACTGCAAGGATTCCTACACCTGCAGTTACACTAAATCACTGATGGGATTCCCCGTATCAAAGTCAAATATTTTCTTTCTGTATCAGCTTGCTGCAAAGGGCAGTAAATTCTAGCTCTGAGGGAGCAGTGAGGGTCCTCGGAATTTACCCTTTGATACCATATAACTTTTTTTAAAGTATATTTTATTCATTATGCTATCCAGTTGTCCCAATTTTTTCTCCCCTTTATCCTCCCTCTGCCCTGCACCCCTCCAACCTCTAGCAGCACCCCCACCTTAGTTCATGTCCATGGGTCATACATGTAAGTTCTTTGGCTTCTCTATTTCCTACACCGTTCTTAACCTCCCCCTGTCTATTTTATGCTACCAATTATGCTCTGTATTCTCTTTCTTTCCCTCCCTTCTCCCCCTCCCACTGACAACCCTCCATGTGATCTCAAGTTCTGGGATTCTGTTCCTGTTCTCATTGTTTGCTTAGTTTTTGTTTTTCAGGCTCAGTTGTTGATAGGAGTTTGTTGTCATTTTACTGTTCATAGTTTTTGATCGTCTATTTCTTAGATAAGTCCCTTTAACATTTCATATAAGGGCTTGGTGATGATGAACTCCTTTAACTTAACCTTCTCTGATCCCATATAAGCTTTACATTGTGAATTTCCTAGCTAAAGCGTTGAGTTAGAACTTAAGCATCTTTCTCCTAGAGTCACTGGTCACCAAGTCACGGGAGCAGTGTATTACCACTGCAGAAGGACTGGATGCTTTCCCTGACAAAGCATGACGACACACAGGCAAGAACTGGAGCCAGCACAGTCCGAATCACAAGGTATCTTTGGTATCTCATTAGATATCTATGTTACTATTCTCCTGCCCCCTTGAAGCTTAGGTTGGAAATGTGTACTACTTTATACTGTTTATATCACTCTTTCCTAATATATGAGAAGTCTGTAGGGTTTTGTTTTTGTTTTGCTTTTTTTGAAATCTGTGGCATACCTCTAATCTGCCAGAACACACAGTGGAACGATGCTTCACTACGTGTAGCATCACACATTTCCTTCAGATGTGAGGGAGGGTGATCACATTTGTGCCTGTGCTCCCTCCTCTGCTCACCCCACTTTAATTCCTGCCTTGCCTCTCAGTGAGGAAAAGTTGGCCAAGTGAGAAAACTCAAGACAGACACTAGAGTTGGCACTAGAGCTGTGGAGGCTACACTGGTACCTTAGTCACTACTGGCTTTTTTAGCATCTTTTTTTTTAATCCTCACCTTAGGATATGTTTTTATTGACCTTAGAGAGAGAGGGAGGGAGAAAGAGAAGCATCGATGTGAGACAGAAATATCAATTAGTGGCCTCCTGTACACACCTTGGTTGGGGATCAAACCCATAACCTAGGTATGTGCCCAGACTGGGGACTGAGCCTGCAAATTTCTGGTGCATGGGACGATGCTCTAATCAACTAAGCTACCTGACCAGGGTTTTTTGTTTGTTTTTTTTCCATTTGTTTGTTTTAATCTTGTTTATTTATTTTTAGAGAGGGGGGAGGAAGAAAGAGAGAAACAGGGATGTGTGGGAGAAATGTCGATTGGTTGCCTTCTGCACATGGACACTGGGCCCACAACCCAGGTGAGTGTTCTGACCGGGAATCAAACTCACGACCTTTCACTTTGTCGGGGCGACACTCAACCAACTGAGCCACACTGGTCAGGGCTGGCCAGGGCCTTTTTTTAGTCATATCTTTGTTCTTGTTGTTGACCATATAAAGTAGGGGAGGGGGATCAAGGGCAACACGTGGGTTTGGCACATACGCCACATCGAAGTGACTTTTTTTTTTAAGGTTTCAAATTTTCCACCTGTCTTTTAAAAACAGGAGTTATTTCACAGTGATTTACCAGCAGGCTTTTCTGAGGTAGATGAAGCACGGACACTAAGTAGTACGAAGAATGCAGAGGGTGGCTAAGGCCTGTGTGGATAGGATCAGTTCTAAAGAAATTTCCGTAGTGAAAGCTGAGCCTGTCGTACACAATATCACAGAAGAGGGAAAAGGCCTGTTTCCTGGGAGTTCAGAACCGAGCAGGTGGGAACAGGCTAATCTGGCTAGTAAAGAGCAGAACTGTGGGAACGAGGACAGAGCGAGAGGAGGACCGTGGTTGGCACTCCACTACCCAAGACGAGGCAGCTATGTCACCCAGGAAAGACATATGTATCCTTCAGGGCCTTAGTGATCAAGAAGAAACATATATTACAATATCACAAGAGTCTAAACACAATCAAATGACCTGAAGCTTTAAACTGCCTTTTCTTGTTTTTTTGTGTAGAGAATAAATTTTGCCTGTTTCCTCAAGCCTCTGATTTGTACACAGGTATTGTGAATATATTAAGTATGTCAGGGAAAGCCAAATCTCAGCTAGACAGTTAGTGAGATGGATTTCCCACTCCTTTTTCTGCCTGTATGAGTTACGGATGAACAGGGGGCCTGTCTGAGATCCAGCGAGGTGCGCACTCCCAGCGGGGGCTTTCTTTACGGAGCGTTGCTGCTGGCATCGCAGGCAGATGGTCTGCTTTTCAATGCACATGCCATCGCAGGCCAAATGTTAGTAGTTAAACACCATCGTTACAGAAACACACAAAGCTGTAGTCAAGTTCACAGACACAGCTGGGGGTGAAGAAACACTTATTGGAGGAAAGAAATTTGCTATTGGCTCCACGTCATTCATCGCGCCTTCTGATACACTTGCAGGGGGATCGTTTTGTATGAGGGAGGACAACATAATGACTATCAACCTTGGTTTCTCTCCCTGGTCTAGGAATCGCATTTGTCAGAGCAGCCGTGAGAAGCAGGGTAATCACACGTAATGCTCTCGAGGGTTGATGTAGACTCTCTCGGGATCGTCACTTCGATGTTCGCCAGGGCTCTGGTCTTGGTAGCACATCTGATTACAAAGAGGGTACATCTGCTGAAGTCCATCTTCCCCCACTGGATTCTCATCTTCATAGTCAAATCTCCTGCTATTTAGTCCGTTCTAAAAATTCAAACATTGCTTATATTAGCCAAACAGCTGTTTGCATTTTTCTAGCACTTTGGTAAAAAGAAGCAAGAATAGAATTCATTACAGACTGTCTCCCTGATGCCCTATCCCAGAACAAACTATTGAATGGCAAAGTGAAGTTCAACAAGTTAGCATTTGCTGGTCACGTGTTGCTTTCAATGCCTGGACAAGACTGGTGGCAGCTCCAAAATAGAAAATTATACACAGTTTCAGGTTTTGAAATTTGGAATTAGTACCAGGTAAAGTAAACTGGAGAAGAACAAGGTTGTGAACTTCAGGTACCCCTCAGCATGGCTCAACCTTGGAATGACTGCATGAGCTACATGGAGGATAAAATCACACCACACACACACACACACACACACACACACACACACACACCACCAAAGGAAACCTCGGGATTCAGCACTGGGGAGTTAGGAAAGAGAAACAGAAATGAACTGATATTTGATTATATGACTGACACAACTGAGAATAAGAAACACTATCGAAAATATTCTTTTGCCCTTATTTCCTTACTGTCACAGCCGACGCCCCCTGCTGCTCTCTGGTGTCTGGTTCTGATCCTGCTACCTGGTTACTGGTTTTATAAAACTTGACTACTTCTAGGAGGGATAAAGAAGCTCAAGGACTTTAACAAAATGATACTGCAGTTGCTTAGATATCCGAGAGGTGAATAGAATAAAATTTCATAAAAATCAAATATTTTAGTGAGCATGATGGCCACCAGCTCCCCGGGGGTTGACGCCAACAAAAAGACCACATTACTCACAGAGTGCTCAAGACCGCCGCCCGCTCTTCCTTTGAAATGAGTTTGCAAAGGCAAATGTTCAGTCTGGAGGAAGAAGAGAGAAAAAGGCACGGCCTCTGAAGCACCAAGCACGTGGTAAAACACATAACCAACACCACTAAGACTCCTATTTTTAAAAGAGCCAAATCATGTTTTGTGAAATGTCTGCCAGCCAAACAAAATATTCTGGATGAAGACGGGAAAAACAGCTACATTTCTGGAGAGCTCCTCTCTCCCCCAGCTCCGGACTTCTTCTGGAAGGAAGAAAATACATAAAATATTTGCCGCAGCAACTCTTAGGCAAACTTGTTTACATCTTACTTCAAAGAGGACTCCGCACGAAAGGTCCCTCAACTTCCCTTAGTGAAGAGTCTGCCATTTTGAATCACTAAAAGTAGTTTTGCGGTGCTTATGGAAGGTAATTATTTGTCTTTATTTATGGATGGTTTATATGGTTACCCTTCTCTTCCTGCTGCTACTCCCTCCCTCCCAGCCCCAGGCAGATCATAAAGGGAACTTGTGATTTTCAAACCCTAAGAAAGCTCTTTCTTAGGTGCCCTTTGACTTACAAACACACACTTGCCCTTCAGCCCCCAGGCCAAATATCACCTCTTCCAGGAAGCCTACCAGTCAGACCTCAGGGGAGACAGCCACTCCCCTCACACAGCATCAGATATGATAATCCGAGTGTATCTGCTTGTTTCCTTCACCAGGTGGAGGATGCTGGTTGGTGTATTTCATGAACATCATTTCAATCTTTATAGTAATTCTATAAAACCAGTATCTTTATTTTACAGATGACTGAAGCAGAAGATCAAAGTGGTTAAGGGAGTTGTCTTCAGTCACACAATCGGGAAGTGGCAGATTGGGATTCAAACGTGGATTTGTCTGATGCCTAAACCTATATTCTTATACCATCTGCCTCTATCTCAGTGCCTGGAAAATAGATGTTCAATAAATATAACAAAAGAATGCCCGCAAGTCCCAGCAGGTAGGCACGTCTACCAACACGCTTTCCATTTTACTGCCTATCTTATGCTGTCCTTTTGGTCTAGAAGGTCAGCCTCTTAGTCTCCAGTGATTGAAATACTACCCATCCATTCTGGTCTGATTAAAGTCATTCCCCGCCCACCCCCAAGGCCTTTCCACAATGCCCATCCAAGTTAATTTATCTCCAGTTTTCCTATTGTTCTTGTTTATTCCCCTATTAGAGCACATATCATGATGCATTTGTTTCATAGTTCTGAATGGCTGTATCTTTCAAGTCCAGTAAACAGTAAGCCATTCTTGGCCATCCCCACACCCTGGCCTGTGGCTCTGTAATAGGAAGAAGTCACCAGTTAACCAATGAATTTACTGAATTCTAAACTACCAATTCTTGATATCCTATTTCAGGGTTAGCCAAACTATAAATTATTTGCAACCCATTCATCTCCTATCATATTCTGCATGATTCTAGGGTGTTCTACATGACCAGGTCATGTTGACAGGACACAAAAGTCCAAGGCAGGGCCAGTTTCATGGACAAGTGATCTGACACAGAAGTCCTGGTGCTCACAAGGGGTCCACTTTGGGGTTTAATGTTCTGTGCTTGCCATATTAGATTTCTTAATTTCACTATGAATGGGTATTGTAAGTGGTCTAATGGAACAATGGTGCATGCTTCAGGGACTTGTAGCCTCAGCTCGAGGTTGTCCTGCCACCTGCTGCTTGACTTTCACTCGCTTCTTGGCCACCACTCACCCATTCTGGTGCCCATCCCAGCTTCCCCCACATACACACTCCCCTCTTGCCCCTCTCCATGAGTGCGGCTGCCCCTCTGCCGCACAGGGGCCTGAGCATCTGCACGGGGAAGGCTGAGGTTGGGCGTGCACGGCCCTCTGCACCAGGCCACACCTGGACGATGGCTGGAGAACACATCTCATGAGGGCAAGTCTCTTACTCACCCCTGATCTAGGTACCTAGTCTTGCCTTCTTGCCATTCTTAATTTTAAAACACGGGGAACTGCACATTTACCTTTCCCTGAACCTCTCAAATTATGTAGCTTATCCTAGTCCAAGGAAAATAGACTTAGGGGGAAAATACCTCAAATTAAAATTTGCACTTTCTTTTGTTTATTTTCCTGTTTTAGATGATCCCTGCAGCAGTTCCCCTTCCATTAATATAGGTAATTGAGGATTCTACATCATTGCTGTATATAATTTGATGAAAGGCAGGCCAGTTTGATGCCTCCCTGTAGAGACAGCAAGTGCCCTTCTCCTGCTGGTGGCGCTGTGTGGAAAGCAGGATAGTGTCCACGCTGAAAGAGATCACATTCCAGAACTACCGTAATTATGACAACTGAAGAGTTCAACAGAAGACTTGGTTGATATGTGTGCTGTTCTATTTTTATGCTATAAAATTCCAAATGGTAAATTAAAAATGCCCAGATAGTAAACTATCGTTCATACTTCCCTGAACACTCTGGGTAAAATTTGCATTTGGTCATTACCAACGAAATGCAGTGACAGGCTTTAAGTCCTTAGAAGCCAGCATTCACAGAAGACACACTGGAAGGCAATATAACCAGTATCGACTTAACAGTATTGGAGTATTGCAGAGGAAGAAAAATCTGTTCTAATACAAAGATTTCAAAGAGCCATGATTGTATGAGTAATAATAGCACGGCTACCTTTTTCTCATAATAGGAGATACAAAATTAGTCACAAGTGATACGTCTGACAACAAAGGACAAGAAAAAAGGAGATCCTCAGCAGGAACAGGGAAAAGCGGTGCCTGGACACTGCCGACAACCTCCACGTGCACTAAGTGGGCCATAAGCAGAGACGGAAGTTCCTCTTCTCTAGTCAGTGTTGTAGACCTTCATCCAAAAGTTACTATACCTCACATGAGCCTGTGAATTTTTAATCTTGTAATATAATATTTGATGAAAAAGTTATATAGACAGGAGCCCCACACACAGCCTAGGGATGCCCCCAAGCTCCACCCCAGGAATAAATGGCTACGGAAAAAGGTGCTGGTCTCCACATTGTGTGGCCATTCAATTTCTCACAACATACACAAGGAACAGAATTTGATCTAATAGTGGGTGGGTAGATGTGTTCTTTTTCTGCTAGCTCATAAACTACCTGAAATGTTGCACATCCTGATTTCTTTAAAAAATTACTGACAATAGTATATAGAACAGTGTCTTGAATAATACTGGTATCTTATATTTAGTGCTTAATATATAGGTACTGAATTAATCTATAATATTTTAACTGGTAGAGTCATGCATATATTATTCTATTATTCTTGCATTTTTTCCCTAGGAAGACTTGGGCTACTCTCAATGTCTATGACATATTTCGGTTTCCTGGCTTTCATGTATGTACTATCGTACACCTGTTTCTATTGAGCTACAATCTGCATTCACTTTCTTGATTTACTGGCGTCTGTAGACTCTCATTGCTGGCTTCCAAGGTGCTAACAACACTAGTTTTTAAGTTTTATTATATGTTATCTTAATAAACATTTTACCTTCCCTGGCTCAAAAAAATAAACTGAAATCTTCACTTTTTACTATGTATTGTATTTTAACCTGCTTCCAAAACAGAGCTTTCAGAGTTGTTAAGGTTTATTTTAGGTAACAGCCGACCAAGATTTCAAGTTGCTACTGTCATGAGGTGGACAAGCACTCTGGATACTCTGCTTATCTGGCAGTGTCCACTTGGGTCCATTATTCCTACTCTCCAATGTGAGTCCTTTTGGTCTTCTATCTCATTTCATAATTTCATCTTAAGAGAGAAATAAGAAGATAATACAAAACTCTTAAATTCTGAAAGGTCCTTAACTTACCACTCAAAACCTCAGCTTAACAAGATATCTAGTTTCTTTTTTTTTTGCATGTAACTGTCCAGCTCTCCCAACACCATTTTTGAAGAGGCTATTTTTACTCCATTTTATGTTCCTGCTCCATTTGTCCAATATGAACTGACCATAGAGACTTGGGTTTATTTCTGGGGTCTCTATTCTGTTCCACCGATCTAGTTGTCTGTTCTTATGGCCAGTACCAGACTGTTTTGATTGCAGTGGCTTTGTAGTACAGTTTGATGTCAGGTATCCTGATCCCTCCTACTTTGTTCTTCTTGCTCAAAATTGCTGAGGCTATTTGGGATTGTTTGTGGTTACACGTAAATTTTTGAAATGTTTGTTCTATATCTGTGATATATGTCACTGGTATTTTAATAGGGATTGAGTAGAACTACAAATTGCTCTGGGTAGTCTGAACATTTTGATGATGTTAATTCTTCTAGTCCATGAACACAGTACATGCTTCCATTTGTATCTTCCTTAATTGCTTTCTTCAGTATTGTATAGTTTTCTGAGTATAGGTTTTTTACCTCCTTGGTTAGGTTTATTCCTAGGTACTTTATTTTTCTAGTTGCTGTATGAAATGGGACTTTTTCCCTAAATTTCTGTTTCTGATATTTCCTTGTTGGTGTACACAAATGCCTTGATTCCTAAACAGTAACACCATATACAAAAATAAAGTCAAGATGGATAAGTCTTAAATATAAGATACAACACCATAAAAGTCCTAGAGAGGAACATAGGCAGGAAAATTTCAGATATTCCAAGCAGCAATATTTTTACCAAAACATACCTTAGAGCAAGGGATATAAAGGAAAAACAAAACAAAACAAATGGGACTTCATCAAATTAAAAAGCTTCTGCACAGCCAAAGAAAACATCAGCAAAATGAAAAGGGAACTAACTGTATGGGACAATATATTTTCCAATGATACTTTGGACAATGGTTTGATGTCCAAAATATATAAAGAAGTCACACAACTCAACTCCAGCAAGACTAACAATCCAATTAAAAAATGGGCAAAGGATCTGAATAGACGATTCTCTGAGGAGGGCATACCGAGGGTTCAGAGACATGAATATTCATTCAGCATCAGAGAGACGCAAATTAAAACCACAATGAGATAACATTTCACACTGGTCAGAGTGGACGTCATAAAAAACCAACAAATGCCGACAAGGTTGTAGAGAA